AATTATTGCATTATAAGTATACAGTGCAGAAAGTGAAAAGGATTATGCATTTTGGTTTTCTCTCGTAGTGAATGTTTGCCAGAATTCTAAATAGATTTTAATGGCTAAAGTTTGTCATCCTTCCCTTTATCTTGCCTTTGGCAGGGATAATAATGGTTAATAGCTAATAATTACAGAGTTCTTAATATGTGCCAAGCATAGCTTTACTAATAGCTTTACAAGTATTTATTATTTAATTTCTAAACAAACCTGTGAGCTCGTCTCTAGTACTATCCCTGTTCTTACACACAGAAGACTTTAAACGAGACAGGTGGAGCAGTTTACTCGGATTGTCGCAGTGCAGCGAGTCAGACTCCCATCCCGAAGGCCGGAGTCCCCTTGTTGGTCTCTGGGCAGCCCTGAAGGAGGGCATGAGCAAGTGGAGATACACCGCTTTCACCGGGGAGGCACCTCGACACCCAAGCCTGGGAATAACTTCAGATCCCTTGTGCTTGGGTGACTAATCCTGGACCTTTCCGGCTGACTCCAGGGTTTTTATGTTTGCGGCCTGGTGTGGGCTTGGTGTCCAGATAAGGTTTGTCCAAAAGCACTTCCTGTGATGATGGAAATGCTCCCTGTTTGCTGTGTCCAAGACAGTAACCAGATCCTAAAACCTATGTAGCTGTCGAGCACTTGAGATGTGGCTGGCTTGACTGAGGAAGTTGATTTGAAAGTGGGATTGAATTTTAGTCCATTTAAATAGAAATGTAAACACATGGCTAGTGTTGGTGAGCACAGGTTCAGGGAATAAAGGGTTGCAAAGAGGAAAGGCGTGCAGGGGCGCCTAAAGCTGCAGTTTTATTGCCTTTTCCACCTCCCGGATTTTCAGAGCCGCCACTCTGCATCCGAACAGGAGCCAGCGCCTACTGTAAAGTACAGAAATAATACATACAGGATGTGGAGGCCTGAGCGCCATGTCTTCAGAAGCGTCCTTTGTCTGGCGGGCGGGTGCCCCTTGCGAAGTCCTCTGGTGCGCTCAGAGGTCACCGGTGTCAGCGCTCCTGGGCCATCTGCACGCGCTCAAGATACCTTTAATTATGGCGGCATATGTTTCAATTTTCGGGCTGGAGGAGATTTATTCCCTTCAGCCTGAAGTCAGCACAGATGGGATCTTGAGCGGAGGCTCAACACACAGGAACTGAGTGCCTCTGCCCTCGACAGCTGGGGCTGCCACGGTGAGTGGAGCAGTTTTGCATCATAGAGTCGTATTCCCGGCTCCAGCCACTGTGGTGGTTTGGATTCGGGATGGGTCAGTGAGGGCCAGCATATGCGGCTGGCTTCGAGCAGCTTTCAAAGATCAGCAGCCTTAGGACAGAAGTCGGTTGTTTGTGTTTGCTGTGTCCATGTAGGTAGCTGTGTACGTTCCAACTCAGGTGTGCATCCAGACATGAATGAGTTGATGTGAAACTGTTGACCTTGAGTCAGGGTATCTGAGCTGTTTCAGTGCTTCATGGATGCTGCTTACGCTTAACTTATTCCTTCCTCCTTTTGAGCTTTATAACACAGTGTTATTGCTGAATATAGGCTGATGGGATTTTTTATGCTCAATGTTTTACATTTTCAGGATGCATCTGTGTGACCGTACGTGGCTGTGGTTCGTTAATCTTGACTGCTCCGTGATATTCCACTGCATGGAACCCACCACACCTTCCGGAGTCATTCTCCTGTCAGTGGGCTTCTGGGCTGGCTGCTAGTTCAGTGTTCTCTCAGCTGACTCTACTTTCGGGGGCATTAGTAGATGACAAGGACAGGGCAGAGGTCATTCACCTCTCAGAAGGCGGGACCAGGAGGAAGAGGGATCAGGAACACAGGGTGCAGTTCGAATAGGGAGGAGGGAAGGGCACTGACATCCACCGTGGTGTTTCCTGGATACCTGCAACTGTCCCATGGCCGTTGCATTTAATTCACCGGGCGGTCACCTGGCACCTTTCATTATCTCCATTTGTTAAGTGAAGAATTGGACCCAGAGAGGGGAACAGTGACTTTGCCAAGATTGTGCAGCTGGTAAGAGATGGAGCCAGATGTTCGACCTGAGGTTTTCTGACCTAAGTCCTTTACACCCCCTATGCAAGGGAGCGACTGGTAGTCGAGGTTATGTGACTATAACGAGGGAAGCAGTGTAAACAGGAGAGAACAAGTAGGCTCTGCTACTTACAAGGACAAAGTAAACAGCGCCAGGGAGATTTGAATTCAAGGCAGACAAGTGAGGGAAAACGAACAAAAGGAGCTTCATGTCCGAGGCCCCTGCATGTTGCTCTTCCACACAAATCCTTCTGACCCTGCATTCGGACTTGGCCTCTGACTAATCTAACTATCTCCGTGGTCCTTGCTCTTCTAACACATTCCCTTCTGCCAGGGATGAGCCACAAAGCTATGCAGTCCCAGGATCAGCCCTTAATCGGCCAGAAATAGAATGAGTTGACCCTGATTTATCAGCAGTTTGCAGTATGAGGCTTTTTTTTTCTTTAATGAGAATGAGAATAGAATGGGGTGGCGGCCTAGCAAACGAGAGAACGTGTTTTTTTCAGTCTGTAATGTTTTTGACGTATACAAGTGCAATCTGTAATAGAATGTAAGTGCATAATTCAAAGTTTATTTTCATGTTTGTGAATTATTGACCACTACTGCTAGCCCAGAGCTCATAAAGCCTAAATGACTGTGCAGCTGAAGAGAGAAAAATCTCCGGGTAAACGGAGGCTGGAAATCGGCATTGCTCTGTGCAGGTGGCTGTCTCACTTGTTCATGTTTTATTTAGGTGCTTAGCAGTGCCATTTGAGTCTCTAATTAAAGTTGTGCCTGTACTTTAATTGTTCATGAAGCCTCACATATACTCCGTCACCTGATCAGCTTGATGGGGATTTGCAAAGGCGGGCTTTCCTGCCTCGCACAGGGGTGTCTTGCCTCTGTCTTGAGAGTGAAGGCAGCATTGATTCATAAGAACATTGTAAGTAGCTCAATGGCCATTGGAGTATATTGAGTAGGGAATGAAATACAGAAGTCTATTACAGATACTCCGTCTCTATTAACCTCTCTAACCCTTCCATTTAGCTTGATGGATAGAGGGATTTGTGCCCTGAAGTCACAGAGGTATCACTGCTCAGATGTGGGATCATCTTTAAGACGGCTTTGTTCATCATCGTAGCAGATCAAGACTCAGTTTAACTGGTTTTGAACAGATTTGCCTCACGTTTGATTTTGGCAGTTAATACATTTGGAAGATAAGCGATCAGTAAATCTCACCTTGAATTTATTCATTAAGATAAATAAGCCAGACCTGTATTTTGATGTGTATTATATTTTGTATTTTTGTATGTTAACCCCATATGGATTGAATTAATGTTTCTATGATTACCATAAAATATTGCAATTCTGTTTTCTTTTTTCCAATCTGTTGGAAAAAGAAATGATGGAGGTGGTATTTCTCCAACTAGGCTAGAATATGTTATAACCGAAATCTTAAATAGCATTTGAGTTACTTGGCTTTAAAAGCATTGTAACTGGGATGTTTGAAACCTTTATATGATTATCAAATACTTTTTTAGAGTTTAATGTTTCTCCATGTTTTCCATTTTAATTATTCTCTTTGGTTACTTCAAAGTATTTCTTTTAGCATTCCAAGCAAGCTTTCCTTTGAAACTGACCATTAAATTAATCTCAGGAAAAATGCATTTTAACACACTATGATGATGTTCAGCTGCCCCAAACATTTTTTAAAAGTTAATATTGTATTTATTCACCAGCTCCTTTTGATTCGTCAGTTTCAGATTTTGCAAAATCGATGAATTTCAAGTGTTTCTGAACAGAGACAGTAGAAGAACTAATTTCTTTCCATGTGAATGTTGTTTTCAGAAGAATCCATGCTTGGATTCCATGTAATTCATAGTCCTTTTTTTTGTGTGATTAGGATAATTAAATAACATGCATTGAGTCTTTTATCTTGTGGCTAATGCTGTTTTCCAGGGCAGTTTTTTTCTTAAACTATCTTAAGTTTTTTATTTCAACTGCAGTAGCCTGAAAGGGGCAAGAATTGGTTTTGTTGGGAAATGGCGAGGAACCTACGCAGTATCAAACTATTGGAAGTCATCAAGTAGCACAATTAGTGACCGATGCCAACCATGTCACTGTTTCTTAGAACTGGCTGAATCCCCCATATGTTTGAAATGCAATGAGATGTTGAAATGCAATCGGTTGTTGGTGTAGCCGCAAGGATCATTTGTAAAAAGTACTTCTCATTATGTTTTAGTTTCTCATGAAATTATTTCCCTGCTAGTCCGAGCATCATGAAGGCCAGGACTGTTTCTGTCTTATTCTGTGCTTATTCCCCACTGTCTGTCATGGTGTCTGGTTTAATAAGTAACTGTTGGGTGAAGAAATGAATGCTCATTTTCTTAAACTGATAACAGTATCTTAAAATGAGTCACCCAGCTCTTGAACCTTTCTGATGCCTTTTTTAAAAAAAGAAAATGTGGCTTTGTCTTTCCATTGGCATCAATTTTTTTTTCTAAAGGAAGAATGTTTTCAGGAACTGTCTGGTGGCTGTTTCTGATACTTTTGTTTCCTCTCTTGTTGCTGCCCAAGTGTTTTCTCTGCAGGAAACCTTACCAACATGCTATTACCCCAAACAGAAAAGCAATAATTAAGTTAAGTCTCCATTTGATGCGGAGCTTAGCTTGAACAACTCTATTTTGTCCCGTGAATTATCTTTTTAACACACTGAAGTATACACTTAAAAATGGTTAAAGTGGTAAATTTTGCACTATATACATTTTAATCACAATTTTAAAAGCACATTATATTGTCTGTGTTTCACGTTGAAGGTGAAATGTTCGTCAGTGCAAAAATCTTGAGGGACCACGTGGATGGAGTGAGCAGAACCTGTTGGTGTCAGTGTGTCGGTTTATGCTTCCTCCTTCACCCAGATACGGTTCTCGGTTCCTAACGTGAAGTTTATGTTTTCGCAGGAAGGAAAAGCTGATGCGATGCTCTCAGTGCCGAGTGGCCAAATACTGCAGTGCCAAGTGCCAGGTGAGACCGCCCGTCCGTAAGTGCCACCTCCGAGTTCTCCAGCTCTTAGTCATGCCCCGTCATCCCCATTCGCTTGTTTGTGTTTCTTCGCAGTCTGCGCCTTATTTTAACTCATTTCTTTTCATCTTAAAATAACATGTATGTGGTAAAATATAACATATGTAAAATTTTATGTATGATGCATATGTCATGAAAGAAAAGTAAAACTTTACTTTTTTCCATCCTCTCGTCCCCCCGACCTCAGGCCTGTCCCCCAGAGGTAACTGCTGTGAGGTTTCTCCTGTGTCTTTGCAGCATTTTCTGTTTTCTTGTGTAAACACGGTCACATATATATAAATCTTTTGTGTAAATAACAGATAAAGGTTATTCTGGCACAGATCCTTGTGTACCTCGAGTACCTCAATTTTGTTTTTTATTTAATAATCTTTCCAGAGGAACTTTCGGTAGCATTCCACTTTTTTCCATTGCGAACATGCCACAAACAGAGCTTCCCCATTAATGGATGTTGACTAAGTTTCTAGTGTTCTGCATTTGCCATCGATGCACTGGACATCCTTGTGTGTCTGCTTTTGCACACTTCCACAAATTCATTAGAGGATGATTTCTTCTCAGCTCTATTGATTAGTACAAGGATATATGCGTTGTGAGTTTTTAAAGATGAAACCAGGTTGCCTTTTAGGAATCTAAGCTAATTTACAACAACTGGCAGTCTTTGTGAGAGCACTGCTGTTAACAGATCTGAAAGCCTCTAAAGGATGTGTAATTAACATTCAACATGACCTTTCCTTCTAACCTTCTGATTAATCGTCTATAAATGTAATTACGCTCTAATGAATTGTGTCATAATAAAAAGTCTAATTGGAAGTTTTCTGTCTGTGTCACTTGCACTGGGCCCTTCACCCCTTCCTTTTTGTTTCTTACTTTGGGGGGGGCGTTTTCTGTGTCTGCACTGGCTGCCCCCCTCAAACTGCTTCTTCTTTAAAATCAAGGGCTTGCTTATCTAAGGGACTTTCTGCTTTCTCGCTTCCTCTCTTGAACATAATTTCTCCAGGCTACAAGAAGAGTGATGTGAATGGAAAAGAAGCCAAAACATACAAAAAAGCCGGAGGACCCAAATTTTAATGACGATTCTGCCATTAGCAAGTTAAATTATCCTGGGGAAAACACTTAAACTTTCTGGGCAGCCGTTTTCTAATATGTACTACTAATAAGCACGAATATTTATTAGACATTAATATGTACCACACACTGTTTAATTCTCTTTCCTCCTACAGGAGTCTTGAGGGTTAGGTACTATTACTGTGTTCACATTACTAATAAGGAAGCTGAGGTGCAGGATAGCCAGGAACTCGCTGAATGACCTAGAGCTGGTGGGCTCTGAAGTTTGGGGAGAAGCCAGGCAGTTAGAATTTAGACCTTGAATTTCTCTTCTAATCCTAAATTTTATTTTTGCTCTAACATTCTAATTAGGTGTCATTTTCCTTTTCCTTTGGTATTCTTTATTTTCTGTTTTTTTGGTTTTATTTTATTTTTAATAAGGCTAACTCTGTCCCTAGGAAACAGAACACAGGAACTGTGAAAATAAAAGGTTAGCAACGACACTTTCCTAATAAAAATAGGGAATGTGACAAATAATTGTTATTTTTACCTCATTCTGTGAACCCAAAATCCTGCCACAGTTAGAAAGATACCAGACTTAGGTGAGATCATTAGCATTAGTAACAACAAAAAGAAAAAATGAAAATAAACCCATGCTTTTTTGTACAAAACACATTGTAGAGAGACTGCTTTGTGATGATGCTGTAGCTCTTTTCTTCACTTGCAACTGAGCTACAAGTTTCAGGGGGACTCCAAGGTAGGAAGACTACATATATCACCGATGAATTGATATGTTACCTGCCACGAATGTGTTAGATGACCTTCCTTTCTACTCTCAAGACCTTAAACGTTTACATTTATTTCCCCCTATTTTTATGAATGTTTTCCCCCATGTTACTTTTTCCTTTTGCAGTACAATGGAGGGGAAAAAAAGCCATTATCTGATTAGAATGAATAGAGAGAGCGTGGTAGGTTCATATGTCATTGTGATTCATTCAAGTGCACGTAGTTTTACCTGCACGGATATTAGCTGTTTGCGGCGTTATCAATAATAGTGTCTCCATCAGATAGATGGTGGGAGGTAATGGGAGGTAAGCGAGGATGATGAAGGATGCGACATATGCTAGTGCTTATGCTTCTTTGTGTGTGTGTGTGTGTGTGTGTGTGTGTAGAGGTGGGATGGGTGTCAAAGATTGGCCAGAACATATGCATTTAAACTGCTCTATTTAGCTCAACCTTAAGGGACAGCACTGAATATTGTAATTGTTGCAGATACCTGCCAAGCAGCCCCAAATTAACCTGACAGACTGAACTATGGCCAGTAAAGAACAGGAGGCAAAGGCACTTGGACTGGGAATTGATATGGAGGATGTGGATTTGTAGCATAAAATCTGTGATGTGTTGACCCTAGGCGGACGTAACTTTGGTTCACGCACTTAGCACTTGCTGTGTGGGGCCACGGCATCAGGCAGTTGTTTCTGAGAGGCTCTCGAGGGCTTACAGTGTGACGTCCCTTGTGCCCACAATGGTATCAGTGTCGTCGGTTTTCACATTTTATTTTTAAACATGTGCATTATAAGGCTACGTTTTCATTATATGATCCACAGGACATGAAATCATACAGGGTAAAAAGTAGAAGTCCCCCAGCATCTTTCCGTTTTCCAGAGGAAACCTCCGTGTGCTCGTTTTGTGAGTGAGGGTGTGCCCCAGACTGTCAGTCTGTGCTTCAGTGTCTCGCACACAGGCAGGGACCTACTTCTACGTATAGTAGTGTTTCTGGTACTGGCCAGAATGCTTTCTCATCAGTGGCTTTGCATTCCTCTGTGTGTCCCTTATTATGTGGTACCACATGATGTATAGAGGTGTTTGTTATACAGGGGAGCCGGTCTTATTTCTGTATTGGCACGATCAGAACATCACTGGTGATTAGGAGATCAAAGGGAAGGAGCAGGTTAAGTTTTCTTAACAAAAATGCATTCTTAAAATTTGCAATATTGGTAGCATGTAAATCAATTTCTGCTAAATTCACAAATTATTATTTCACCTTGGCTGGATTTAATGTGATTGATAATATGCACATATCTAATTGAATTAATTGCTGAGCAAAATAAGCAGCTGGGTTCTGTATCAAATTGCAGTTTATATACTTCTAAAAAGTACTATATTAGCAGAGAGAGGCTCTTTTATGCTGATAATTATAAGCCTCTTTAAAAATGTGCATCGTATTTTTGAGTTCATATTTTATGCTTAGTTGTGGAATGATTTGATTCACTTTTGATGAATTTTGCAGTAGTAAGCCCTAAACAGGGTGATTTAGTAATTTGCTTTCTAGAATATCACACCCAAAGTGGTGGTAATGAAGAAAGCCAAGCCTTCTGTTTATTTCATAAATAGCTGTGCGCCAAGCTCCAGACGGATGGGACGTGCAGAATGTTCCATGGAGAAGTCAGCGTCACATCTAATTGTAAATAAAATGGGAATACTGGATAAAGGTTAAAATTATTTGACGGTATTTACATCTCGGACTTCCAAAAATGTCTGGGGGTCTGAGCGTTTCTTTTCCTGCTTGCCATTTGCCTGGTGAGTGATCCCACCTACTCCCAGAGGTGTCTGTGCCTTAGTGACTGTCACGCCACCTTCTCTAGTCCTCCTTTCTGCTGGGCACCAGACTTGGAAGGCAGCTACCCTTTGAGGTGGCCTCTTCTGCCCTGTGTCTGTGGTCTGTCCTTTTGTCCCCACTTTCTGACCTACAGAAATAAGGTTAAACCTCTCATCTGCTGATGGCCCTTCTAGTTCACTTCAGGAGTTAAAAACTTGTTAATTACTCATGTTGGGGAGACAGAATGCGTGTGCCTCACCTTCCATGTTCACCTGGAACCTGGCATTGACATTAGGCTACTCTGGCCTGGAAGGTTCTTCCAGAGAAGATGGGGAGTCCATAGAAGTGAAGGATGCATTTTGCCCTTCCAGCTAAAATACACCAGTGAGGTCGTTCCCACTGGCCACGATCTCTCTCACTAGGTGGGAGTACATGGGAAACTTTCCATAGAGGGCCGGGTAATAAATGTTTTAGACTTTGTGGGCTGTAAGGTTTTTCGTCAGCTCTGTTGCGGTATGACATGAGCGAGTGTAAACCGTGTAGCTATGTTCCGGTCAGACTTGAAGAAAACAAGCAGCAGGATGGATTTGACCAGCACCCGTACTCTAGGTGATGACGGACTGAGTTTGGGCCATTGATGTTCTGATTTGTTACACGGCTTCTCAGTGAAGCAGGCGGCTGTAATTCCCATTTTACTTAGAAAGGAGTAATAATTTGTTCTTGTTTCTTTTCTTCTGTTGACTTCTTGCCTCATGACCATCCTCCCGCCTCACTGCATCTTTATACCTGGTCCAGGCTGTTGGATTTGGTTGAGGCTGGTGGGAAGGCGCTCTTGTCCTACGTCGGATAAAGCATTTCATAAGCTTCTGAAGTGATACGTCTGACATCTGTCACTGGGTCTCCAGCGTGCTCTTTGGAGATTATATGCAAGATTTTAATCCACACCTGCCAGTCAGCTGCAGCTGGTTAGACAAGCTGCCTGGTTTCCCAGTCTCCTTTTCCCAGATTCTAGCTTTTCGGATTTCCTTCTGTCAGCCTGTAATCCAATGGTGGATTATATTTGAGGCATAAAGGAGATACTATATATTTGCTATTAAGTAGTCCTTAAGGGAATGGAAGACCCTTGGGCTTTTCTTTCCCCCATAAATTGCATGGGAACTCAACCCTCTTTAAGTTTTGCCCGTAGGAAACCTCTGTAGATGATTGGAGTGAGTCTTGCATATGTGGTAAAAAATAATTTATTAATTAGTAGTAATTGGTCGTTATTACTTACAAATGGAACTGTTGAATAGCTGGCTGAAAA